ATATTCCTTTAAGAATACAGTGCTTTCATATTCATAAACATCACTGTTCTTTTTGAATACAACATAGAAGTAAAGAAATGTAGCACAGCAGCTTACCTTCTCCGCAACCCTGCTGACATCCACAGCAATATCACCACCAGAGTTCCCAATCCCGATGACCACCACCCTTTTCTCCTCCAGACCCTCAGCACTGCAGTATTCCCAATTGTGGAAATATTTGGCTCGGAAACTCTCAATACCTGGAATGATTAAAAATAAATAAATACTGAATTTGTCGCTAAATATAAATATTTGTCAGTCATTTCAACCACCATTGGAAACATTAACAGACAACACAGTGTGTGACATCTGTTGTGTTGGAGCAAGAGCAGCTGCTGCATTTCTTAAATTTACCTGGGAAGTCTCTGAGTGGCAGGTGAGGCTGGGTGAAATGTCCATTGCAAACCATCACGGCATCAAAAACACGGGTCTCCCTCTGACCCTCTCTGCTCTCCGTCTCCACCTCCCACTGACCCGTCACTTCAAAATTTGTCGTCTGCCTCACGCTGATTACAGTAGTCTGACACAAACACAAACACAGTTTTTTCTTTTTTATGAAGATCACCAACCTGGAAGCGTATGCGTGGCAGCAGGTTGAACGTCTGAGCATACAGACGCAGATACAGCAGGACCTCAGAGTGGTGCATGTTGTTAGGGAGGTCAACAGGAGGCGGGAAGTCGCTGAAAGACATCATCTCTTTGGAGCTGTTGATGATCACTGACTTATAGATGTTGGCCCGCCCCGGCTCTGGCTTCTCCTGAAGGAGGAGAACATAAAGACAAAAAACGAAACACAATGCAACTTTGCTTCTATTTAAACTCTGACTTTAAGTATATTTCAAAACTCTGTCAGTGTCTTACAGGTCTCTTAATCCCTGGATGTGTCTTCTCTATTTTCACACGTTTCTGTGGGATAGTTGCCCACTCTCTCCAACTTTGATACCATCTCTCTCCTTCACTCCAGTGAAATTTAAATTGTTTATTTTAAACTTTGAATTGATGTATGAGCAGTGCATTAAGGAATTTACATTTTACAAAGCTACTTTAGTAATGTAGCTTTTGTTAAAACCACAAAACAGCTGAGAACAGATTCTGCACTTCACTTCAGTATCAAAATAACTGAACTGCTCTTCATTTTAACACTTGATCCATGTTAGACCAGCCAGTTAAGTACATTTTCTGGGATCTCTGCTTTAACGTTGCACAAGTCATTCTCAGCAAAGCTGCATCTCTGTGTGTGTCACTACAGAAAAAATAGCACTGCAGATCACATTGTCACATATTCCCAACAAAGGTTGTTTGAAATACATGATTCAAGAATTTAAAGCAACTAATTTTTCAACTTTTTTCAAAAGCTCGTTTTTTACATTTTTTTTTTTTTTTACAATTTCTTTTCTAAATTTTGAACTTCCATTTACGTGTCTGTATTTAAAAACAGTAAACCTTGCAAGAAACGATTCAACAATTTGAATGTTAAGCTTCACTTCAATATGCTGTCATTTATATCCCCCCCAAAAACCCCATTGTTTCCCACCTTAAATCTCCAAAGACCTCCAATGTCATCACTGCTTTCAAAACATGTGGGCTCCAGACCTTCATCCAGACAGCCTTTGATGCTCGTCACTCCCGAGGGTCCTGCACCGATCACTGCCACTCTCTGAACCATGCTTGCACAGCTAGCTGATCTGTTACAGATGTTTGCAGTTTGAAAAATGGTTGAGTTTTATGTTTATAGCATGACTGTTTCACACCCATTGTTTTGGAGTTGTTAACTTGCATGTGAGTGTGCCTTTTTTTCATTACTTGAGTCAATCAAGGATAATTACATTAAATTCAGCAGCACGCAGAGAAGTGCTGAATGAGACTGAACATTTACATTTTCTTCAGTTTTCCTGCAAAAATGAATCCAATTAGTTTTACTTGTCCTTAGCAATGGTGCTGTGATTTGGTCTAATACCTAAGTGTTTGGAGCAAACAGACCTAATTTACTGTAGAGATTTTCACTTGTAAAACACAGATTAATAACATTAGTCGCAAAAAAGGGGTTCCTCCATTGATTTTCATGCTGTAACAAAAAGTTCCCCAAACGAAGTAATAGTAGTACTAGTAGGAGGTACAGGAGGAATCACATGGTTATGTGACATATGTGACAAGTATGAAAATATAACATCTGACTTCAATCCAGGCCCATAGGAAATATATTATTATTAATTTATATGCCTTAGTAATGCTCAAGTGGCCAAATAAAGCATTGTTATGAGCTCAAGTCAGTGTCTTTGAGTAACAGCAATAATGTAAATTCCAGTGGGAGGGCCTTTGTGCACAGAAGCATCAGATTCCAAGTAAATACCAGCATTAATATCGAAGTGGTTTTCTTTAGCATTAACTCTGCAAACCATAATCTACTCCTCACTGGAGCTTCAACAGACACACTGGAGTTACAATATGCCAACTCAACCTTAAGCAAGATAGATGATTGTATCTCCTTACTTGCCCTTTTGGACTTAGTTCTTTTGGATTAGCTCTAATTTAGCAGTTTTTGGGAGGTCCCAGGTTAACCATGGATGTTTTAGGGAGGTCAGCAGTTTTAACTTCTTGAGACTGTACATGAATGACAACACACACATAACACACTACAGGGCCTGGGGCCCGTTCTTCGTACCTCGCTAAGTAGGTTAGCCGGATTAGATTGTTGACGATTTCGCGTGATCCTGGATCAGTCGGTTCCCCGAAGCTCATCCGGGACTTGCTGTCATAGCAACAGAGCCGTAAGCGTAAACCTGCTCGGGAGCAGGTTTACTTTATGTAAACAGGATTAGATCGCGGCCACGCAGGTATGTCCGCTTCATTTATACGAAAGCAACAGCGATATTTTTCCACTGTTTCACCATAAATAAATATTATCAATGTAACTAAAGGTAATGCAGCACTTGATCCTTTTATTGATGTCACACAGATACATACAGGTCATTTCCTAAAAAAGGGAAATGTACTATTAACATTCTATTACATGTATGTGATTATTACAGATGTAATTCATATTTCACAGTAGTAATTGTAAATTACTTCGTGTAATCAAGATGAGAGACCACGGCTATAAAAGCGAAGGTGGATTTGGGAAGCCTGTCGCAGCCATGTCCTGTCCGTATACGCGACCAACCCATTGCGGAAGGTGCAAGATTGATAAGGAGAGTCCTCAGAATTCAGCGTATATTGCGGGATAGACAGGATCCTTTACCTCAGCGCGACAGTGTGCTCATAGAGAGATATCGATATTCCCGTGAGGGTATTATTTACTTAACCAACTTGTTGACGAGGGGGTGCAGGACCACCACCTGTCTTTTTTTGCTCTGCCATTTTCTTGGTTGCTGTTATGAACAAACTAACAGAGTATTACAGGCCAGTATTACCTTGCCAAGAGACGCAAAGCAATCTAAGAGATAAATATTACCATTCTGTAGAATACTCCTGTATTCCACTTTTACTTGTTCCCATTTTCTTGTGGGTCCTGTTGTGGCTCTAATGTGAAAGGGGATATAATATAACATATTATAATATAATATAATGCCATATGATATTGGACAATATAGTGTCATATGATAGATCTACCCTACCGCCTACTGGTGTTGGCCAGAGGGGCCGATGGCGCGATATGGCAGCCTGGCTACAACCGTAGCTGCCTCCACCAGTGTGTGAATGTGGGAGTGAATGAATAGTGGTATCGTAAAGCGCTTTGGGTGCCTTGGAAAGCGCTATATGAACCCAATCCATTATTATTATTATTATTAAATTACCTACGAGTTTGACTTGTCAGCAACTTTCTGCCAGCCCTCTCTCCTTGCTTTTGCAGCCTTTGCAGTGTTCTCTTGCGTTTTAATTAAACTCTGAAACTCCTGAAATCCCTCACTCATGAGTTCTTGGTCTGCTGCCGGAAAATACCGAGCACGCCCCTTCGACATTTTCGCCGACCAATCAGCGGGTTGCCGATCAATGTTTCTACTATCGATGCGTAGCCCCTTTTACGACACCCAGTGATGTCACATTCCTGCGTCCAGCTGTAGTAATCGTCAACAGCAGGTGTGTTCGGGGAACCGGATTAGCGAGCTCACGGTTAGCGCGATGATTTGATCTTGGATGTGTCATTTGATCTTGGATGTAGTAAGCGACGTACGAAGAACGGGCCCCTGGTTGCATTGTTCTCCATAAACAGAAAACGCTGGGTTTCCTGTTTAGGGCCCGTGATGGCAAGCCACACATGGCAAGCTCCACACCTCACCACTAGTTGCTTCACTTTAGTTTACTTTGCAGTCACTACACTTATTTTCAAATATACTGTTTCCTTATTAAATTAGTTTTTTTTTCCCGTTCAAACCTTCCAATATTAATATGGGGTGCACACATATCAACGCTGTAAGGTCAAAGTTCTGTTTTATGTTACATCTTTCTTTGTTTGAGCTACCTGGGGTTTTGGCTTCTCCTTCCTGGCTGGCAAAAGGGCTGGGGGATCTGAAGTACTGCTGACAGCCTCAGTGGACTAAACCACATGCTTCATTGCCTGGGGAGTGTTTGGAGTTTGTTTAACAGTTTTGTGTTAGCTGGTTATATGTCAGTCACCCCCCCCTTGTGTGTCATATGATTTAGCTAAGCTAGTATTTAAGTTCCCTCCTGTCATTTCAGGAAGTCAGTTTGTCTTATGTTTGTTTGATGTTTTGTTAGTTGTTATTTTGAGTTTAGTTTATTGAGTTGACCTCTTTTATTGGTCTGCCTGTTTAAGTTTTTGGTTTTGTTAATTATCTTTCATATTTATATCATATTCATATCTTCCATATCCTAAAAAGTTTTTAGGCTCAAGTCTGTCAAAAGAATCAATGCAAATTAAAATATTTTTTTCCAGGAGTGAGTGTTCATATCCTGAACCACGAAAGAACACAGTTTTATATAAATGAAAACATTTTTTTCAGTATTTTAGGCAATGTCTTTATTTGCTTTTTTCATGAGTGTTAGACAAGAAGAACTGCAGGTAGAAAATGGTGCATTTGTACATTTTCACATATTTTAAATGGCACACACTGCTCATCATCAGTACCCAGAAACTAAAGGTTCATTTTTTTTTTATCACTGAACATTTCATTAACAAAATCTTCTGCAGTTGGTTATCATTTTCTCTGACATGAGCCTTGCACATATAAACTTAATTTCCTCTTTTATTTCAGACTTCCGTCCATTTGTTTGAACCACATAGTTTTTAAGAATCACTCCAACTGCACTGTAGTGTGCATGACTTCTTTTTTCCTTTTGCATTTGCATTTGCAGGCCTCAGTGTGAAGATTATGCAGACCTTTGGAACTGGAAGGTACTTTTACAACTGTATAATATTACATAATTGCAACACATGATTTTTACACTACGACAAGAAAAGGAGACTCCCAATTTATCTCCTCTTTCCCTGCAGGCCAGCAGGAAATGAATACACAGAAATAAAAAATAAACAGATTTTCTGTGATTCACAGACCTGTTTTCTTTCCTCTTTAATCCATGTTAAATAATTTTGTTGTTAAAATTGTTGTTATGTTAATTAAGTCTATTAATACATTACATATCAGGATTCTGTGGTAAGCTGAACCACAACTCCCTCAGAAAAACTGTGCTTTTGTTCAGCATCTCAGTAGCAACTTCCAGGGTCGTAACGATCTTGCCTTTAGAAAAAAGCACGACTATTATTACAGTTCCTGTGAATGTGAGCATCAGCGGAGAACACAAGCCAAATTTACTGGTGTTGTCTGGTATTTCTCTGGTTCTGAACGGTTGAGAAACCCGCTCCCACTGAGTGAAGATAGCTTGTCTGGCACCAGACCAATTTCCAGGCCCACTAAGACGATATTGATAAGGTGTGCAGGGACCAAAGAAGACCTTTGCCCAGAGCACAGGGTCTCTCAGAAAAAGCCTCAGGAGTTTTGGTCGAACACCTACCTGTGAATAAAAATCTGTTATGAAGGATTTGTCTATGATTAATGTTGAAAATTTTATTTATAGCTAAAGTGAACTCACTTCCCCAGCCATAAAATCCAGATATGGGATGTAATCAACCTGTAGAACAGCCTGCCGTGGACAGGGATAGCTGAGAAAGAAATATTTGCTTGTGTCATTAACAGGACTTAGTGGGAATAAGTAATCGACCAGGGCCATTTAATAACTTTCAGAAATGATGTCTACCTTTGCATGTTTCTCCTCCTCTCAGATTCAATGACATCCAGCATTTTCTCTTTGGTTGGAAGACGACTCTGACCTTAAAGATATGATGTTTCAGCTACTATTTCCCCAAACCCAGTGTAAGCTTATGTGTTTGTTTGAAGAGTTTACCTAAAAAGACCTTAACAGCCCAGCGAGCCTGCATTTCCACTGTAGGCATGAGTGGACCTTTTACTTGGAAAAGTCCCATGACGGCCAGTGTGGGAGGTTGCAGGGATGGAGGAAACGCTCTCCTAAAACATGAAAGATAAAACTTTGTGGTGGTACTTTAAGAATTTTAATATGATAGCACTGTAAAAGTTGCCTGCAGCACCAACCCCCAAAAAACGTATCATGTATGATTCAAACTTTAATCTCTAGACTTTACATTTGAGAGGATACCCATGCAAGTCAGTGATCCACTCTGTCCACCATAAACTTACTTGTACAGTGTCACCTCTTCATATGGTCCCTCTGACAGAGTTGATGGTAGGAATGGGAACTTTGCAATGTAACCTGTGCAAAATACCACGGCGTCAATGTTCTTCTCCACCGTGCCATCTTCAAATACAACTCTAGAGTCCTTGAACCCTTCCAGATTGTTCTTCATGACTATTGCCCCCTGAAGGATTCGGCCTGGGAGATCGTCATTGATCATAAGGTTTCTCTCCATAAGTCTGTGAAAGAAGTAAAGTAGTGAAGTCTCTGTTGCTACAAATGCTGTTGTCTAATTGTCAGCTCATGCCATGCTGGTACTGATGAAATTATGAGTAAAACTCGAGAAAGACTTATGTCAGACAAGAAAAAATATAGAAATAATTCTGATTAATTTTCGTCTTTATTAGGTAGGAATTACAATTGTAAGTGTCTTTCAGGTTTGAGGGGATTGTGCTGTCTTTTTTAAAGTTTCGTGAAGTTGTGACGACTATTTCAAAAGCACGTACATTACCTGTGTTTGGGTTTTAGACCATACAATATGTGGTCATATTTATTGTTCAGTGCTCTCTCTGCTGCCCAGTTGACCAAAGTCTTGGGGAGCAATTGGAAGAGGACGTTGTTGATCCGTTTGATTACTGCAATGTCGAGAGGAACGCCATTGGTGGACATCCTGCCCAGCACCCAGGCCCCTTGACGTGTACTGAGAAAGGTCTGTCGATACAAAAGCGGTACAGTCGACATTTGATCATCTCTCTCAGTCCCGTACCTCCGTGACAAACCAAACGTTTGCATTTCACCTTCTCGGCCGATCTGCTAATCTCCACAGCAATATCACCTCCAGAATTGCCAGTGCCGACCACCACCACCCTTTTTCCTGTGAAGGCATTTGCATCTTTATATTCCCAGCTGTGAAGACACCTGCCAGAAAAGGTTTCATGCCCTGGAGGAATACAGATTTTGCTACAGTCACAAGGAAAACATTTTTTCCAAGAATGTCATAATTTAAATACTATTATTCTAAGATGTCCATTTATTTACCTTGAAAGTCAGACAATGGTAATGTTGGATGGGTGTAGTGACCTGAGCACACCAGAATGGCATCAAAGATGTGCCTCTCTTCCTGTCCGTTCTTGTTTATGGTCACTACTTCCCATTGGCCGGATAGAGAGAAATCCGGCCTTTGCAAAACACTCCTCACTGTGGTCTGAGGTGTGCATGCCCACATTCACAGAAAAATATACATTAATATCAACAACACTGCTTTCATAGAATACTTGAGCTGATGAGATGCCATCTACCTGAAAGTTAATGTATCTAAGCAGGTCAAAGTGTTCAGCATAGAGCCTGAAGTACTGCAGAAGCTGTGAGTTATGCATGAAGTTGGGATAGTCAGATGGCATTGGAAAATCACTGAAGCACATCATTTCTTTGGAGGTATTGACCACCAAGGACCGGTAGATGCTGGTTCGATCTGGCTCAGGTGTCTCCTGTTGACACACATGAAAACAAGAGCAAAGCAGGTAAAAACATCTCTCTGCAACCATTCTACACTTTAATGCAGTGTTTATAATGATTGTTGTGGACAAGCTAAACCCTTTCTCCATATACAGTAATAACAGGATTCAACAACAGTAAGAACAATCATCAAACTTTGCAATGTGGTTGTGCCCCCACTTACTCTAAAATTCCACATGCCGCCAATGTCATCACTGCTTTCAAAGCAGACAGGCTCGAGCCCCTCATCCACACAGATCTTGATACAGGCCAAACCAGAACAGCCTGCTCCAACTACTGCCACACGTCGAACCATTACTGAACACTTGGGTATGGAAAGACACTGTGAGTCAGACATGTTTCATGCACAAACATGAGACTGCATGCACATTTTTATGTTTCTTCTTCTGTCTTCCATAATCAACTACCTCAAAAGTAGTAACATTGTAAGCTATGTGCACAAAAATAGGTACCGGTAAGTTTGAAAGACATGTCAGTTGTTCTCACCTTCTTCAGTTATATGCTTGTCGGTCCTGTTTAGCCGGTGTTGGGCGTTAAACGGTGTGTAAGCTCCCATGACCTGAACTCTTGTTGTGCAATCAGTTAAACAATATGCCAGAGGAGGGACTTTAACCCTTCTCTTCAAATATTCTATAAATGAGTGCTGGAATGAGTAAAAGAGGTGCTTCTTATTAGAACCCACATGATGGGAAGACTCAGTTTCTCAGATCTGTACATCTTTGCATTGTTGCATCTGGGTCATATGTGATGTAGTGTGTGTCCTTTATTGCGGTTTTTATCCAAATCTTTTGTAATAGTGTGACATCTTTCAATTTGAGGATCTTTGAAGATCCTTCTGTAGGCTTCAATGGCTCTGTTCTGAATGGCTTGATTCTTGGGCTTGCCTATCGATGTGTTTGCTGCTGATTGGCTCCTCCATGACATCCTGCTGTTTAAAGGTTCGGGTTTCTATATTACTCTCCTGACAGCAACTTGGCCCAGACCTCCAAACCCTGCTATACTCTTTCTGTTATAGAGGAGAAGTCTCTTTAGGCCCAGTGTTTGTTAGTGTGGTTTGTATTAAGTGTTCTATCATGTAAATACATAAATTTGTTATCATATATAAAGGCTGAACTGCTTCTTTCCTTCTTTTTTTTTTTCACTGTTTTCTCTTGATTTACATATTATAGGAAGTAAGATTCAGGAGTCTAGTTTGTTGTACTTAGGAATCAGGTATCACTGGGGTTTGTACCACAAAGAAGGTTTGTACTTTAGTCACTAAGACTGAAGTGGAGATGCTATCTTAATAAAGTCTATTCTAATACCAGACTAAAAGGAAAGCTGGCCAAAAAGCAAACTGTATAAGTTACCGAATGTTACAGGAAAAATGATTCTATGTTTCTTTACCTTCTTTTAAATGTGCAAGCATGCCCTTTTGTCTATGGTTAGATTAGTTTAGAATTATCTTTTTAGACTTTCTCAGCAAAGACATACTGTTTTGGGACATATTGTTTTAGATTGTTTTATCTCTCACAGCTTTCTCCCAGCTCTCTGCTGACGAGACTAGCGCCACATATGGAGTTGTTTATTTTATCTGTTTATTATTTTCTTATCCTGTTCTCACTGTCTTTCCTATAAAAAGTGCCCAGCCTCTGTACACGTTGTGAGTTGTTCTGAACAGCTTACCCGTGTGCACGTTAAAGCATAAAAAGTAACCTTGTCTCATTGTGTCTTTATTTCTCCTGGGTCTTTTACAGAGTTTTCCCCCAACATTTCTTGGTCCTTCGAGCCGGATCGCCTCCATCGTGTCCCATCTCCGTGACCAGTCCACGTTGTTCGTCTGTCGACAGCTCACACACCAGGTGTGTGATAAAAGTCCAAGAGCGTTTAAATTCGGGTCTTGGCCAACGTCTTAGAAAGCGACCCACGGTGGTGGGACCCGATCGAGGTGGACCAGACCCGGCGACACTGACCAGGTAGATACAGACACACTGACACAATCTTGCGTAAAAGCGCATTTTGAATTCAGGGAATTTAAAATAGCGGAAGTAGCTCGTCGACTGGTAGCTCTGGGAGCTCGTCGACTGGTAGCGTAGCTCGTCGACTGGTAGCTCTGGGAGCTCGTCGACTGGTAGCTTTGGAGCTCTGGGTAGCTCCCCCAGCTGGGTCTAGACTGGGTCTAGGGAGTAAGTAGCTCTGGGAGCTCCCCTTATCATAAGGGTTCTGGTCGCGCGCGTGTCGAAGCTGTGAATGTGAATGTGTGTGTGTGTGTGTATTGTTTTAATTAATGGAGCAAGCTGAATTTTCACGGTCCAATAAGAGACTGAGCTGCTCCTACTGTGTTTTTCTTTTACTGCTATTCACTGACGTGCTGGTGAGTTGAGAGAACGGTCGAGTTCCGTCTCGTAAAGTTCACACCGCTTTTGGAAATAGTCCGAAAGTAGAAGGGCGTGTGAGCAACCACTCTCGTCTCTAATACCAGCGAAGGTGATAGCAGCTGTATTGTGTATATATTACTTAAACAAAAATAAGTAAATACATAAATAAGATGGGTAATCAAGCAAGTGAAATTAAAACTCACTCCTGCTTACGAGCAGTGGTGAGAAAAGAAAAGTCCAGACGCCGGACAAAAACAGTGTCTGTAAACTGAGAGATTTAAGAAAACAAAATATAAACAATCAGAAGAACAGAACTCAACTGCCAGTTTAGTAAAACCAGAAGATGAGACACTGTGCAGTTCCCACAATCCTTTTAGTAAACCATCACTCACTCCTGCAGCCGCATCTGCAGCAACACCCATATCAGGAAGAACATAATAATCCCTTATTAAGTGAAAACTAGAGATCACAGTAGTTTTGTAGTAGTTTAAAAGGGTTGAAAACAGACCCCACTGAGTAGATATAAATATAAAAAGTACGAAATAAAGATGAACAAAGGGAAAGTTACAGTAGAAATTATCTTTAGAGTATTTGAAATTAATAATAGCAAGGATAACAACCTGTAAAGTGATATTAACAATGAAACACAGTTGGCATGATGACCATGCCCACAATGTATAAAATGAATATAAAGCAAATAATTCACACGAAAATATTTTAATAAAATATAAGGTTTTCATCCTTTTACTTTTGTAGTTTTCATTTTAATTTTAAGGTTTTCATCCTTTTATTTTTTGTAGTTTTCGTTTTAAATATAAGGTTTTCATCCTTTTATTTTTTGTAGTTTTCGTTTTAAATATAAGGTTTTTATCCTTTATTTTTTGTAGTTTAGTTTTATTATTTTTTCTTGTTTATTCCACTTGTTATTTCATTTACTATGATTTTCATTTACTATGATTTTCATTTACTATGATTTTCTTTGTTCTTTTTATTATTTTATTTTGTTTTATTCTTTAGACCAAATGATTTCCATTTCTGCTATGCTGACATTTTGAAAATTAAAAAATTGCTTAAGATACTTAATAAATAACCTTCACAGACAATTGTTGTATACATTTAAAATAAGTTAAAACAGGAGGGAATGTTACAGGAAAAATGATTCTATGTTTCTTTACCTTCTTTTAAATGTGCAAGCATGCCCTTTTGTCTATGGTTAGATTAGTTTAGAATTATCTTTTTAGACTTTCTCAGCAAAGACATACTGTTTTGGGACATATTGTTTTAGATTGTTTTATCTCTCACAGCTTTCTCCCAGCTCTCTGCTGACGAGACTAGCGCCACATATGGAGTTGTTTATTTTATCTGTTTTGTATTTTCTTATCCTGTTCTCACTGTCTTTCCTATAAAAAGTGCCCAGCCTCTGTACACGTTGTGAGTTGTTCTGAACAGCTTACCCGTGTGCACGTTAAAGCATAAAAAGTGATCTTGTCTCATTGTGTCTTTATTTCTCCTGGGTCTTTTACAGAGTTTTCCCCCAACACCGGACTTATTCAGTATTCAGTAATTCATGGGAGAATCAGATAATAATTGGATAATAATTGTTGTGTTAGTCATTCTTAGTAATTGTTTAGATTTGTGTATGGCCCCCTTTCAAAATAAGCTTCAACCACAACATGACTGGATGAAGAGTGACTGGAAAGCAGACATTAATGATTAACTAATTCCAGTATACAGTGTATTACAGAAGTCCACTCTAGACATAACAAAAGAATGCATATTCATTTCCATAATCATTGCCAGATGTGCTTCTTTTTTTAAAGATTTTAATCTTGAGATTCACCTGAGCTGGGACAAACTGCTCTTGACCACAGCGCTGATTTGCTTTTCACATTTTAAATTTGTGTGAAAGATTACACCAAGATTTTTAACCGGTGCTTTAATAAAACGAGTTAAAGTGCAGGTAATCTTTTAACTCTCATTTAATAGTGGAGGACCAAACAATATGGCCTGTGTTTTGGAAAACAACCAGGACATAAAATGACAAGTAAGAATTTATTTATATTTGTTACTGATCCTGTAAAGACAGGAAAGACAAAGACTCTAGATCTTCTTGCTATCTTGCTAATGGTATTGTTATTTCCTGGAGAATTAATGGGGCACTCAGTGATTCGGAAGAAGGACAGAGAAGTTCACAGCATGCTTTGGGTGTTTCTCTGAACTAATGTTAGTTTGGCTGAATTCCCTGTAATTTATTTCTTATTTCATTAAAACATTGTTGATGATGTTGCCACCCTCTTGCCCCTAAACATTCCTTTTAAGGACACCAAAAACATCAGCCTGTTGAATTATCTGATGATATAATCCAAAGGCAGTGTTGGGAAGGTTACTTTTAAAATGTATTCCACTACAGATTCCGTTACGTTACTCAATGAGAGTAACGTATTCTGAATACTTTGGATTACTTAATATATTATCATGCTTTTTACAACTGCATGAATGTACTGTTGCTGTGTGATTTATTACTATTACTGAAGGTCCGCGGCTCCGAACTGTAGTAAAGGGACCTCTGGCTAATACGTTGGTTCCGTGTCGGGCTCGTAGCTGAAAAATAAAGACAGAGAGAGGCGTTGAAAGGCTGCTCCAACGGAACTTGTTGTTTCGGAGGAAAACACGAACACAGTGTAGGGGAGACCGGGGATAGTTGTAACGTGGGTCAGTTGTAACACTTCCAATTTCTCCAATCAGGGCTAAGTTTCAAATGATGTGACTCATCCTGTGCATGCCCAATTCAGTTCTGCTATCACATGTGAAAAATCAGGACATTTTGTCAAAACACAGACAATTTAACATGAAAAAAAGTCATTTGTATGGCAAAAAGTAAGTTTTTCTACTTTATTTCAATTTCTAATAGCATTATCTGCTTTGCAGTTAAACTCATCAAACTTAAATTATGTTATTTGTATGTCTATGGGGATATATTCTGTGTAGGTCTTTAGTGCTAATGTTTTAGCCGTTGGCTGTAATGTTAGCTAGTTCATGGCTATAGGAGTCTGGGTCAGTTGTAACAATAATACAGATGTTACAACTTACCACACTATTACTTTAACTTATATTAAACAAGTTGGGGCAACGACATCAGCAGAGAGAGGTTCACTGGTCGCATTTGTATATGCGGTTAATGCCATTGGCAACACAAT